CAATTGAGTTGCATTGCTGTGGAAAACCTGTTTGAAATCATTTTGACAGCAATTGAGTTGCATAACTGTGGGAAACATGTTTCAAATCATTTGGACAGAAATTTAAGCCTATATCATTCACCTCATTTCCCAGCAATGTTTAAACCCATGAATTGGATTGAGACCGTCAATACAGTTTTTTTTATTTTGAGAACAGGCAGCCATTTTAATTTTCAGTCTTGGTAAACATATAGTGCATATAAGCAGAAAATTAATTGTGTCGCCAATCAGCCAATCACAGAATGCCCAAGATACAGATCATGATGTCATCCAGACACTATAAACACATGCACATTGATAAAAAAAACACTGAATTTTGGATATCGCAAGTTCCAGTGAGATCTTTTGGAACACTCTGGAACAAATAAAAACTGAATATTACCTGGTGCTGCTCTTCTTCAAGTTTTCTTCTTGAATCATTATTTTGTCTCAGCAATAACTGAATAATATTCTGATTTGTCTCCTGCATAGTGGATATAATAAACCAATAATTAGTTTAGTGAAAAAGTACACACATTAACAAATGTCATATAATGACAGTCCTAGTCTGTTTTAGTGTATGTATATCCCATGATAAACAAGGCATGTCACAGATATGTTGCTAAAACAGCATTCATTAAAAAAAAATAGCTGCCAGTTGGTCATTTTGAATCTGATCTAAATAAAAAATAAAATAACATTCATCGAGATACCTTCATGTTCAATGTAGTATGTACCAAATTTTAACTAAATTTGTCTATACAAGACTAGATTTGATTTGATTTTGGAATGGTAGAAATGTTTAATTTGATGATATTTTAGCTGTAAAATTGATGCAAATTAGGCTTGAATTGGATTGTGAAGAATATACATGTGCAAATGTGTGAACAGCATTTGTTATAAAAATGACTACCAGACAGCCATTATAAATCTTATCCAAAAAACAAAATGGCAGGTATCAAGGTTCTGTTAAAGTCAACGTATATACCAAATTTGAACAAAATTCACCAAAACACAAACAAGCTCTGGTTTGATGATGACAGAAATGGGATTTTGATTAATTTTTGGCTGCTAATGAGTGATTTCAAATCTGATCATGAAAAGAATATACATGCATATTTTACATGAAAAGTTTCAATGAAATCAGTCCAGGCATGCCTAGGAGTGGTTGATGACATGTTTAAATGCTGATTTATGATGGATTTTTTTATAATAACTGAAATGGTGACTAGTCAAACAATTATTTGACTTGTTTTTGTGTACACTCTTAACAATATCAGTCCATCAGTCAAAAGCATTTTTGAGAAATGATGATGAAAACACAAATTTAGGCACCTTTAATTTCTAGCTATTAGAATGCTGTTATTATACCGAGACATAGAAGCTGTCTGACTTGACATTTACATGGATTAAAAAAAGAAAAAATTATGCAAAAAAAACAAAAAACAGCTCATTACCATAAACCAGACAGAATACAGTGTGTGAGAGTATAAACAGTTTGAAAATGAAACAGTAAAAGTAAATGGTACTCACAACAACGACAGTAAAGTTTTGTATCTTCAAACTTTTTTGAAGTAACATTCGGTTTGCTTCTTCATTTTCCTTGGCAGTTGTTTCAAGTTCAGCACATACAGATTCTAAATGGTCAACTACAGCTGTTTGCGATGCCAGATCTAGTTCAGTAGAAAACAACTCCCTGCACAAATACAATAATGATGATAATAATTGTATTTTGCAATGCACAGCCCCTCTTGTGTTAAAAACCATAAGTATATAGATTTTTGTTTGTTATAAATTGAGTAATACAAGTAGTTTTGGTGTGTGACTAAGAATAGAATAGAATACTGGGTAGGATATTATTACATTTCGTTTATGGTTATAGACATCAATGAATTTGAAATATTGAAAACATCAGTAAAGTATTAAGTCCAAAATTTTGTGATCTGACATATCAATTTGATGCTGATGAAGTCATTGAGATTAGATTGAAACCATTAATAGGAGATGGATTTGTAAAAAAATATGATTTAGTGCTTTTACACAAGAATTGAACATTGGGCAGTCATATTGAATCAAATTACAAAAATAATGTTCATGTTGATGTATGTATTGGTATACTGTCTTTGTACAAAATTTAAACAGAAACTTTCATTGCATTCAAGATAAAGTAACATTGGTACCATGAAAAACAAGATGGCCGCCAGTCGGCCATATTTGTTCGAATCACGAAAAAAAAATGACATGCACCTACAACCCAATATGTATGATCATCATACCAACTTTGATTCAAATCGGCCCAGTCATCTCTGAGAAACTGCTGCGGACACGTTTAGGTATCAGAAATAGCAAATTTTACATCCAAAATGGCCGACAGTGGACCATTTTTGCTCCGATCATAAAGTAACTTGACGTGCATATGTATTGTCTTCATGTAAATGTTTGAATGAAATCCGTCAATGGGTGTCTGAGATATAGCTCCGGACGTACAGACTTACTTACGTACGGATGGAACGAACCCAAAATAATAGTCCCCGTTTCCAAATTTCAATAGCAACATTAGACTATACTACTAGTATTTTGAATATAAAATTGGTCCTTTCACACATACTAGTACTTTGATAATAAATTTTGACATCATTAATCAGTGTTTGTTTTTTTACATTGAAACAAATAGTTTACTTAGAGCATATATAATTGTCTGATCTCTTGAGTGCATTATTTTCAAATTGATCTTGGTTGGTTGAGTAACGTAACTCCATGACAATGTACAGAAATTCTATATTCAGTGTACAGTCTATCAAGTGGTGTATTTCATCTTCTATTTGGTTGCAATGTGTGCATAGTCTCTTCCATTGGTGTTTTTGCACATTACTCATAAGCATTTGTATACAAAGTAGTTTAATAGTGTAATTTATATAGTCTAATTTCAACATGGCGGTACACCCATGATGTATTTGTGGTACCACAGTGTAATCCTAATGTCTGCATCTCGAAAACTTACTTGGCTAGAAGTAAGCAGCCTGGTTGGCCTCTGTAAACCATCATTAATTCATCATCAATCTGTTTCTGAATTTCAGTTAAGTTACACTTGACAATTACATTTTGCTTTGAATTTTTTTCACGCAATAAGAATCTGGAAATGTGCTCTTTCTGGGCTTCCTGAAATAAAACCACAGTAAAATGATTTATCATTAACATTTAAAATTAGTTTTAATTCCTTTCTCACATGGGCAATTGTTATTCATTCTGAAATTATCATATGTGATTACTGTGAAATACTTTAATTTCGCTGGAATTAATTTTTACTGAAAAAAGGCATTTTGTATGGAATTTATTTTCACTGATTTTTGATGAATTTGATGTGAATATATGAAAAAAAAGTATATTCGCTGGATTTTATTTTCACGGAATCCTCCTTTCAGCGAAAATAAATTCCAAGCGAAAATAAAGTATTCTACAGTATGCAAAATGTTTTCTGCATAAGGGTTTTAATTGCTGTGGTCAAGAGTACATTCTGTCCACTTGTCAGACTTGCTGCATTCAGGGTAGAGGATCAGGGACATCATACTGGACGAGGAAATAAAAACTGTTGGCCCTATGTGCTGTTTCTGTCCTCAGCACACATACAAAAATCAAAAGTATTCTTGTCTCAATGAGTAGTGGATAACCATGAGACAACAGAACTTTATTTCAAACTTGTCTACTCCGCAAATAGTAGCTATGTGTGGTTACTGAGTATGAATACAAATAAATACAAATACCTCAAGTAATTCATGAACTGCATGAAGCATACTATGTTGTTGTTGTTGTTGTGAAATGTCCTTTATATTACCTCTTTCATATTTAAAT